GAATGTACCTCCTCAAAGAACTAATACACAAAATCTAAATAAAGATCTCAGCCGCCTGGTCCAAGCCACCAGACTCGATCCCTGCCAGGGAAGTCATGCTCTGGCCATATGCCCGGCCCTTTTGCCCTCTAACTCCAGCACAGAAGCTGCATGCATAATTACCGATTTGTTAGATTAATGAAACCTAGATTGACTCTAGGAACTTAATGTTCTGTTCTAGGCCTGACCGGCACCATCGGATTGTGGTCAATGTCTACTGATGGGCTTTCAAGCAGTGAGGGCACTACTGGGATGATCCGGCTGTATCACTTGGGTAGGAGGATACAAGGGGAAGAAAGTAACCAGAGATACAAGGCTGAACAAGTGGAAGAACCAAGAGGCAGAGGGGCATTGTAAGGAGCCAAAGGGAATTTGCTCTCCTTAAAGAGAAAATATGGTGTGTGTTCAGTAATCAAGTTTTAGGCTTATTATTAAACTGTTTTCATTACTACTTCTCATCCCCAAAATCCGCACGTTCCTAACCCCAGAAACCACTAAACAGCTCATCCACTCCCTCATCATATCACGACTCGACTACTGCAACTCCCTCCTCACTGGCCTGCCTTGCCGCTGGCTATTCCCACTTCAGTCGATCCTGAATACGGCTGCCAGACTCATTCACCTTTCCAACCGCTCCGTTTCCGCCACCCCCCTCTGCCAATCCCTCCACTGGCTTCCGATTGCGCAACGGATCAAATTCAAAATCCTAACACTGACGTACAAAGCCGTCCACCACACTGCCCCGAACTACATCACCGACCTAATATCCAAGTACCACCCAACACGCACACTCCGCTCCTCACAAGACCTCCTTCTCTCTAGTTCCCTGGTCTCCTCCTCCCATGCCCGCCTCCAGGACTTCTCCAGGGTGTCACCCATCCTCTGGAACTCCCTGCCCAAACCCATCAGATTATCACCTACTCTCCTCTCCTTTAGGCGCACCCTGAAAACCCATCTCTTCAGGGAAGCCTACCCCACCCCCTGCTAACTTGCCGACCTCCTCCACTCTTCCTACCACTCCATCCCCACCAGCTATCTCCTCCTGTGCCACCATCCCCTCCCTCCTAGATTGTAAGCTCGAAAGAGCAGGACCCTCAATACATGTTTTGCATTGTATTGGTATTGTTCTGTCACATGTTCTGTCCCCCTTTGTAATGTACAGCGCTGAGCGAACTATTGGCGCTTTATAAATACTGTATAATAATAATAATAATGTGTAGATCAGGGGACTCCAAACTTTTCATTCATAGGGCCAGTTTACTGTACCTCAGACTTTAGGGGGGCTGGATTGTGGTCAGTAGGGGTAGAAAATGTCCCAGGCCCAGCATCACTGAGAATAAACATGGCCTCAGGGTTGGTGGTCAGTAAAAGGAAGAGTATTGCCCCATCATTGGTAGGTATCAGTGTAAGAAATAGTAACCCATCATTGGTATCAGTGGGAGGAATAGTGCCCCATCATTGGTAACAGTAAATAGTGGGTGTCAATGAGAGGAATAGTGCACCATCATTGGTAACAGGTGAAATCACCATTGTTGGTGTCAGGGGAAATAGTTCCCCTTCATTGGTGTTAGTTGGAGGAATTGTACCCCATTGTTGTTGTCAGTGGGAGGAAAAGTGCCCCATCATTTGTGTCAGTTGGAGGTATAGTGCCCCATGACCACTGGTTTAGATACAGCTCACCACCGATCACCATGCTGCGCACCCCCATGCACAGTGGAATAAATATTGCACCATTGTTGGTGTCAGTGGGAGGAATAGTGCCCCAAGGGGCCAGTTAAAGGCTGGCAAAGGGCTGCATCTGGCCCCCGGGCCACAGTTTGGAGACCTCTGGTTTAGATTAATGTTCCCTGTCCTGGAGATGCAGCAGCAAAAGAGAGAAAATGTATACAAAGTGATTAATTCCCATCTTAGTCCCCAGCTCACTGGGCATTCATCCCCGTTGCATAGGCCTCTGGTGCTTAGCTGTGGATGGGGCTGGATGATGCATCCAGAAGCACGAATGTCTAGGGCATTATGCACCCAAGGACGTGCCACCTGTACCCTCTCCTGGAAGCTAAAGGCCAGTGACCCATGCATCAGGGCCAAATACTCAGTGTGCATAGGGCCTTAGAGTTGTCACAGGAACAAGTGTCTCCATTGGAGGGTTTTCCCTTTACCTGTTGTTTTGGTGGGAACTTTGAAATCTTGGATTTCCAATCTTTTTCTGCTGTGGTGATTATGGACACCAGGACAACTAGAAGGGTGAAACTTAACAAAGCGTCAAACACACAGGAGTGCTCAACCTGTGGCCTTCATGCCACATGTGGCCCTTAGAGCATTCAGATGTGGCCCTTGACCTCAAACCATGGAAGAGCACTTCTATTATATCCTGTGGGCTTGGTGTGCTTTCTGAAAGTGCACCAAACTTCGGAATGCAGGAATTTTCAGAAAGGGCACCACACCCGCAAGATATAATAGAAGTCTATGGCAAAGTGCAGCTAACCTGGCGGAAACTGCAACGCATCAGTGGAACAACAGCCTTATAGGGGGCTGAGGACAGTAAGGGCTTGTTTACATTTGCGGTTTTGGGGGCAGTAAAACCCCAAAGTTGAAATGTGTTTTTACCCACACGCACAACCCCTGACCACTGGTATAGCATCAGGGGCTGCGATGGCGACCCTTTCCCATGCTCCAGAGGGTCCGTGCATCCCCCATCACATTCTCTTTTACACTTGGACAGGAGTGGCGGTGGGGGTGGCATATACAGGTACCGATCCTCTCCATTTTCCTCCTGCAATGCCGAAAGCCAGGCTTCTCCTCCTCTCCCTCGCACCAGCATTCAGCGGCTGCATTAAAAAATGTGATACTCTGAACCATTTAATTTCATTGTGGCCTGCGACCAGTTACCAAATCACTTAAGTGGCCCTCGCTCTTCAAAAGGTTGAGTACCCCTGATCTAACACATCTGCACGCTTTTCAAAGCTGAAAAAAATGATTTTACATACACTTTACCTTTCCCTTACCTGAACCCTTTACATCTAACCTTACCCAGATATCTTATGAGATGACAAGTTCCTGAGCTCTCTGCTGGTGCACAAGGTGGGGTTGTGGAGATAAGTAGGCAGGGCTGACACCACATTCTTTGGACTCAGAGACAGAAATACACTGTACTGTCATGTCAAGACATGTAGGAAGCTCCCACAGAGGAAGGTAGGAGCACACTGTATTTCTGGCACATAAACAATGAGTTTTCTGTACTTGCAGCATGTTTATAGGGAAATATGCATGTATTACAGACCACCACAATCACCACCCCCACCAAACCACCACCACAAACCACACCACCACCAACACCACCACCCACACCACACCACCACCACCACACCACCATCACCACCATCACCACCACCACCACATCCATGCTTAACCCCTAAATTAGTACCTTAACACTTAACCCTCCTCCTACCATGTAATGCATATCAACATTCTAAAACATATAACTTGATCCCTAACAGTTAAAATGAAATCCCATTTCAAATGAATTCACCCCTAGCTAGCCCCTTCTGTATACTTACCTCCCCTTATGCTAGAAGTTGCCATGCTAAATTCTCACGTTTCCTCTAAAAGTGATGTGCTGGCCTAGATACTTTTCCAATACGAACAATCTGTTCAGTCAGTCTTCTGACCCAGACACCCCTGCCAGATATGACAGCCATGTCAATGACTTTACTTTCCTCCACTGTTGACAAGCAATACAGCTAGACTGCCCTGCCCCTAGATGGATGATTGGACGTTAAAAGAACAGCAGCACACTGATGAGGTTAGCACTCTGCTCACCCTCCTGTCTGCTAATTACCAGTGATGGGTTGTTGGCACTGCATATAGTAGACATCCCTGTCCCATCCTGATCCTGATTATTACTTAGGCAGTGGATTATAGAAAGCTAACACAAAAAGAGACTTAGATACTAGCAGCTTTAAAAATGCATTTAATGTTTTCATCATCTGGGAGTTTTTTCTTCAAACCTTAAAGTGTTACAAAATCCACAACAGTCTGTATATGCAGTAAAGCATGCTTGTTATACCCCCTTTGGAACCTAAGGGGTTAATCCTCTCCATTGTGTCAAAATGCTGTTTGATCCTGACTTCTCTGATTCTCCCCCCTTCTTCCAGTGTCCCCCTCTTATCTCCTAATAAGACATATTGTGTGGAGTCACTCTGCACATGCTCAGTTTAGTGTGTAATGCTAGAGCTGTTTGTTTGTTTGTTTTTTCATTGGAGAGTGCATGTGATCAGCACAGGGCCAATCAGCGCTGTCCAGACAGAGGTCAGGGGTTTTGCATCTCACTAAAGCAAAATGAAAACTCCTCCTAAAAGCTTTAACCAGTGCTCTGCTGGACACTGATAGAAGTCACAAGACTACTATATATACTGCTGATGAGAAAAGATTTTTAGCAGTTTATATTTACTAAAATAATTGCATTTCCATGTTCTGTGTACTGTGGGAGACCAGATATAGTGAATGCAGGATCCTGGGAGACGAGATATAGTGAATGCAGGATCCTGGGAGACCAGATAAGGTGAATGCAGGATCCTGGGAGACCAGATATAGTGAATGCAGGATCCTGGGAGACCAGATAAAGGTGAATGCAGCATCCAGGGAGACTGAATATAGTGAATGCAGGGTCCAGATATAGTGAATGCAGGGTCCGGGGAGATCAGATATAGTGAATGCAGGGTTCGGGGAGACCAGATATAGTGAATGCAGGGTCCGGGATACCAGATATAGTGAATGCAGGGTCCGGGGAGACCAGATATAGTGAATGCATAGGGGAGACCAGATATAATGAATGCAGGGTCTTGGGGAGACCAGATATAGTGAATGCAGGGTCCAGGGTCTGGCAGGGTCCGGGGAGACCAGATATAGTGAATGCAGGGTCCTGGGAGACCAGATATAGTGAATGCAGGGTCCGGGGAGACCAGATATAGTTAATGCCAGGGTCCGGGGAGACCATATATAGTGAATGCAGGGTCCGGGGAGACCAGATATATGAATAGTGAAGATGAATGCAGGGTCCAGGAGACCAGATATAGTGAATGCAGGGTCCAGGGAGACCAGATATAGTGAATGCAGGGTCCAGGGAGACCTGATAGTGGGGTTTAGTAACACTTTAACTGCTGACACAAAACAGTTAATAGCACAGTGCTTCCAATACACACAATGATATCAGGCCAAATTACTTCTTAATGCCCCCCAATTGAAGTTCAACTCCCTACTTTACATAACTCCCAACTCTCCCCTCCTCTTTGCGCCACTAAAGCTGGCCATTATTCATGCATTACTAAGCTGATTTCTATACCCACACAGTCCAGGTGGATGGAGGAATACTTCTGTGTCTTTGTATTCTGACAGCAGGGTTCTCCGCCAACAGAATACACTGGGGGAGATTTACTAAAGCTGAAGCGCTCAGAATCTGGTGCAGCTTTGCATGGGAGCCAATCAGCTTCTATCTTCTATCTATGTTAAAAACAATCATATTCTTCAGATTGTTTTTAACATATAAAAAAAAGTCATTTTAACATATATTTTTACATATATTTGTAAATGCATTCCAAAAATGCAGATTTGTATTTTTAAAGACATACTGTATATTTGAAATGCATTTTTAAAATTATTTTTTTGCATTTGTAAATGCATTCCAAAAATGTAAAATTTGTATTTTTAAAGACATACAGTATATTTGAAGTGAAATTTTAAAAATATTTTTCATATATTTTTTGCAACAAAAATGCATTTCAACATCCAGTATATATATATATATTGAAATATATTGAATATGGCTAAAAGTGTAGCGTTTCAAATATATGGCAATATATTTGGGTGGCAGGAGCAGACCGACAACTCATGGGGCCCCCAGGCAATAGGGGATCATGGGGCCCCTGTGTCCTTGCCCAAACTCAAAAAAGCCTATGCAAAGGTACCAGGGGCATCTCATGGGGCCCCCTACTGACCCCGGGCCCTCGGGCAGTGCCCGAGTTTCCAAATGGTCAGTCCGCCCCTGTTGGGAGGAATATTTTTAAAATATATTTCGAATATATTTTTCTTCCATGTGGGAGGATTTTGCGATCAAGCCAGTTTGGTGAAACGCCTTAAGGAGGCTTGGTCCAACACGGGGACAAGGTGTACGCAGATGTACCTTTCACATTTCATTAAAGAGCTTTTGGATCAGAGTTACCTTTTTAGGTTAAATTACAGGTTATTTTCATGTTAAGGAGCCAGAAAGAAAAAAAAAAGAAAAAAATCTCTAAGATACACCAAAAAAGATTTCAGAAGCAAAATGATTGTCCAATGAATTGTCACAATGTATGGCCCGCCTTTATTCTATACATGTTGAGTCAGTGGCACAACAATTGCCTTGCAGGCCATGCAGCTGCTATGGGGGCTCTGGAGGGAAATAAACCTCTAGAATCTGTGTGCATGTAGAGATAACACAGATCCAGCACTGTATTATTAAGATTGCATGACTGCAGAGCTTGCTGTTGGCACTGATGCCGTGTTCCCCGTGACATTTCAGAAAGGAGCTGGTGTTAGACCTAGAGGAAGAGACTGTTGTCACTATTCACAGACCCCCCTTTGCATGCTGTGCAGCAAGGAGACTTGGTTTAGCTGCCTTAGCAGTGTGGATTTATTGCCCTCTGAGCACCTGGTCATCCCCCGGCCAGCACTGAAATTAACACTGCATGCCTAAAGCAGTCTTCCTTGGGATATAACAAATCCCAGAGGTTTTTTTTTTTTTTTTGCCTGTTTTCATTCAATAAGATAGGGCAGCCCATTTGAATGGGTTGGCCTACGTGCAATAAAGGCGCCAAAGAAGCTCCTGCGCCTTTACAACCACCCACGCAGGGAAATGCGGGCGGATGCTGTTAATCCTGATGGCATGTCGCCCGCATTTTGGAAATTGCAACCGTACTGGGAACCTCAGTTCTTTGTGAATTAAAAAAATAGTGCAGGGACTTCTTTCCCACATGTCCCTCCCGGGCATGGCAGCCCATTTAAATTAATAGGCTCTCCTGCCTGTGCAAATTGCAGCCCCCGCTGCCGCACAGGTCTGAACTTAGCCTTATGTCTTTTAGTGGTTGCTTGCTGTGGGAGGTGGAAGAGGGGAGTGTTAGAATGTACATTGAGACCCTGGGATCAACAATGCTGAAAAAGACTGGGGATTTACTAAGGACTGAGTAGTTAGCTGGAAAATGAAGACTCATACAGCCATTGACTTCTATACCCATATGGAAGAAAATTATATTTTAAATATATTTTAAAAATATTCTTCCCAAATATATTGACATATATTTGAAATACTACAATTTTGGCCGTATTCAATATATATATATATATATATATATATATATATATATATATATATATATATGTTGAAATGCATTTTTAATATATTACAAAGTATATGAAAAATATTTTTTAAAATATATTTTTTAAGAATGTATTCTTCAGATTTTTTTTACATATAAAAAAGTAATTTTAACATATATTTTTACATATATTTGTACATGCATTCCACAAATTTATATTAAATGTATTTTTAAAGACATACTGTACAGTATATTTGAAAATGTATTTTTAAAAATATTTTTAATATATTTTGTAATATATAAAAAACTAATTTCAACATACAGTATATATATATATATATATATATATATATATATATATAATTTTTTTTTGTAATATATTGCATACAGCCAAAATTGTAGTGTTTCAAATATATGTCAATATATTTGGGAAGAATATTTTTAATATATATTTTTTCTTCCATGTGGGATATAGGCAGCTGTACGCAGCACCTGTGGGCTCCCTGGCAGGGAAATATGCCAGAATTCATGCGTATGCTATATGGCCAGTTTGGGCTTTTTCACTGGTTAAAGCGTGTATTTATTATTATTATTATACAGTATTTATATAGCGCCAAAAGGTTTGCTCAGCGCTGTACAAAATAGTGGGGGACAGTACATGAGACAATACAGTAACAAAACAATATTCGAGGGGTTTGAGGGCCCTGCTTTTTCAAGCTTACAATCTAGGAGGGAGGGGATACTTGTAGGAGGAGTGATTGTCCTATGAGACCTCATGACCCTTGACCCTCTGTCTTGACAGTGCTGATTGGCCCTGAGCTGATCACATGCACCCTCCCAAGAAAAAAAAAACTCTCTACTAATACACACCAAACTGAGCATGTGTAGCTTGCCCCCAAGGCTCTGTTCTATCCGGAGAATTGGACAGTAGAAGAAGGGGAGGATCAAAGAATACAGGATTAAACAGCCTTTTTACACAATGCAGAGGATTAACCCCTTAGGTTCCATAGTGAGTATAAGAAGTATGCTTTACTGCATATACAGACTGATTTTACTGTTGTGGGTTTAGTAACACTTGAAGTTCTGCTTTAATTCAGACATACTTTTGTTAAGATCCATGTCGGTAAGAAGTTTTCCTGAGGGGCCCCATTATAATTTTTCTATGGGGCCCCATGATCTATAGTTACACTACTGGGCAGTGTGCAGACCTGTGTACATTTCATCCTTGGAAAATTGTTTCTTTTGACTTCAAAACAAGAAAAGCTTTGTGTTTGTGAAAGATTTACTAATTATGCATGAAAAAGTTTGGCCCCATTTAGTATTCCGTAGCCTACACACTGCCTTCCCACTCATATGTTACAACGCAAATGCGCTACACAGATTCTGTCTAAGCACTGCCAAATTGTTTAAAATACTTAAATGTAATAAACATGGGGGGGGGGGGGGGGGGGGTAAACATCTGATACAAAACTCAGATCTACCGAACAGAGAGAAAATTCCACCAACAGAGTTCGCATCATTCCATGAATTGGGGCTGCAGATTACAGACTTGGGCAATTGTAAGTATACACCTGCTCTGTACTGCAGTACCTTTAGAGCATTGGTCTCCAAACTGCGGCCTGAGGGCCAGATGCGGCTCTTTGCTTGCTTTTATCTGGCCCTTGGGGCACTATTTCATCCACTGATACCAACAATGGGTCATAAGCCCCCCCCACCACCACTGACACCAATGAAGGGGGGCACAATTCTTCCCAATGACACCAACAATGAGGCACAAATCCTTGCAATGACATGAATGATGGGGCACAATTCCTCCCAATGACACCAACGATGGGGCACAATTCCTCCCAATGACACCAACGATGGGGCACAATTCCTCCCAATGACACCAACAATGGGGCCCAATGACTTCAATGATGAGGCACAATTGCTCTCAATGACACCAACCACGGGGCACAATTCCTCCCACTTACACTAATAATGGGGTGCAATTAATCTCACTGAAACAAACAATGGGTCATTATTTTTTCCCACTGATGTCGGGACCTTTTCTACTCCCAATGACCACTAAAGTCTTATGAACAGTAAACTGGCCCTTTGTTTAGAAAGTTTGGAGACCCCTGCTTTAGAGCAGGAATCTCCAAACTTTCTAAACAAAGGGTCAGTTTACTGTCCTTCAAACTTTAGGGGGGACCAGACTGTGGTCAGTGGGAGTAGAAAAACATCCTGACTTGGGAGTAAACAATGCCCCATGATTAGTATTAGGGGAGTAACAATGCCCCATGATTAGTATTAGGGGAGTAACAATGCCCCATGATTAATATTAGGGGAGTAACAATGCCCCATGATTAATATTAGGGGAGTAACAATGCCCCATGATTAGTATTAGGGGAGTAACAATGCCCCATGATTAGTATTAGGGGAGTAACAATGCCCCATGGTATTAGGGGACAATGCCCCATGATTAATATTAGGGGAGTAACAATGCCCCCATGATTAGTATTAGGGCTCGTACACTAGGCTGTTTTGCCAACGCTTGCCAAACGCCCCTATAGCGTTTGGCAAGCGTTGGTCCGGCGTTTGCGGAGCGTTTTTTAACGCTCGGCAAACGCTCCGCAAACGCCGCATGCGCGGTTTAGCGGCGGTTGCTAGGCGTTTGCCGAGCGTTAATAACGCCCCACAAACGCCTATAATGCAGTTTGAGTGGTGTTACCGCTCCGCAAACGCCCCGCAACCCGCAACCGCACCGCAAAACGCCAGGCGTCGCAACGAGCGGCGGCACCATAGACGAGAATAGGAGGCTTCAAAGCCTCCTGACTCGTCCAGAGGCGTCCGTTTTGCCACGATGCAACGCGACGCGACGCAAACGCTCCCGTTAGAACAGCACCATGTGCTGTAATGTGCAGAATTGGCAGAGGCGTTTGGGAAGCGGTAAAAAACGCTTCCCAAACGCCTGTGAACAAGGCTAGTGTGAACGTAGCCTTAGGGGAGTAACAATTCCCCATGATTAGTATTAGGGGGATTAATAGTGTGCCCCGTCTTTGGTATTAATGAGAGGAATAGTGCAACGTCATTGGTATTAAGTAGAGGAATAGTGCCCCATCATTGGTGTCAAGGTAGGAATAGTGCCCCGTCATTGTGTCAGTGGTAGGAATAGTGCCCATCATTGTTGGTGTCAGTGGGAGGAACTATGCCCCACTGTTGCTGACAGTGGGGGAAAAATGCCCCAGGGACCAGATAGAAGCAAGCAAAGGGCATCCCGCGGGCCGCAGTTTGGAGAGCACTGCTTTAGAGCAAACGTTCCTCCAGAGGTAGCAAGGGGTTCCTTGAGCGATTTTCCAATTTCTGCCTCCCAGATACAAAATCACTGACACCAATGAGGTGTCACATGATTGGGAGCCAGATCCACCGCCTCCCAATTGTACACAGTGACCGGGAGCTGTCGGCAAGATTGCTGTCACAGTGCTGGGATGCTGAATAAGTAAGCTCCCAGCAGAGTGGTGCTGGTTGTAAACATATATATGGCAGCCTGTTGTAAAAGGAGAACTGTACTGCATCTGAGCACCACAAACCACCCCTCTCTGCCAATCCCTCCACTGGCCTCCACTCAGTGTCCTCCACCCCTCTCTGCCAATCCCTCCGCTGGCCTCCACTCAGTGTCCTCCATCCCTCTCTGCCAATTCCTCCGCTGGCCTCCATCTCCTCCGCTGTCAGTGTCCTCCATCCCTCTCCAATCCCTCCGCTGGCCTCCAATCAGTGTCCTCCATCTGGCTTCCACTGGCTTTGCCCAACGGATAAAATTCAAAACATTAACAATAACATATAAAGCCATTTATAACTCTGCCCCAAATTACATCACCGATCCTGTCTCCAAATATCACCCAAACTGTACTCTCCACTCCTCACAAGACCTCCTGCTCTCATGCTCCCTTGTCTCCACCTCCCATGCTCGTCTCCAGGACTTCTCCAGAGCTTCCCCCATCCTCTGGAACTCTCTACCCTAATTTATTAGACTATCGCCTACTCTGCTCACTTTTAGGCGATCTCTGAAAACCTATCTCTTCAGGGAAGTCTATCCTGCCCTCAGCTAATACTGGAATCTTCTAATCCTCCTACCAGTCCATCCCCCACAGTTATTACCTTTTGTACCACTAGCCCCTCCCTCTTAGATTGTAAGCTCCCAGGATCAGGGCCCTCCTATCCCTCTTGTATTGAACTGTATTGTTGCTGTATTGTCTCCCGTTATATTGTAAAGCGCTGAGCAAACTGTCGGCGCTATATAAATCCTATATAATAATAATAATATAAATCCTGTATAATAATAATAAGTACTCAGCGATACCTTTGTGGTGCAATTGGAGCCCAAACAAAATAAATGAGCTCAAATCTCACTGCAAAGAATTGCATGCGATTTGAGCAGAAATGCGATTCCTATCCGAATCGCTTGCAGTTTCCCACACCACTCCAGTGTGAAACCCATGCTTGTCATAGAGACTTCAGCCTGAGTTCACACAGGAGCA